CGATCAAACATGTTTTATCGTATAAAATGTCTTCAGAAGGGAAATTGAATCTCGTTGTTATTAAAAATGAAAGTTATGCCCTTTAGCAGTAGTTATTTTCCAGTTTTCGCCTTTATCATCAATACAGAAACATTTTATACGATCAAACATGTTTTATCGTATAAAATGTCTTTTTAACCCAATCGAATTTATCATTTATTTTGCCAACCATGCCTAATCAAATGATGAACTTATCTGACTAAAACCCAGAACATTTGTTGCCCAGACGACCTCCACCATCTTTTTTATTTCCTTCAAAATATTTTAATTGCCCGGAAAAGCCTCTTATCTACAATTATCACTCCTTTCATGTGACTGACATCACTTCCCAACTGTTCTTCCAGGGTACCCTTAAGTTTGGATTATGTCTAGACAACAAAATTTGGAAAATTACCTGAAAAAATCTTAAAAAATTGACCATTTACTAAAAAATTTTTTAAAATAGTATTTAAAATCGCAATTTAAGGATTTCCCCCAACGTTTCCCCGGACGTTTTCCACTTCCAACAGTCTTGTTTGGGGATTACTAACGTGTCTTTTTTGTATTTTTTATTTACTCTGTGATCATTTACTCTCACTTAAAGTATTTACTGGGTAGTTAGAGGGGCGTTCGGCTGGAAATGGCTGGAGTTTTCGTGGGTTACCCGCAATTCACTTAGCGATTTTTTGGAATTGTTTTCCGATTTTTGACCGCACGGTGCAATGGTCTTCAAATTTTGTGATTGCACTGTGCGGCGTATAATTTTTTGAGTACCGCACTGTGCGATATCTTGAATTAAAAAAAAAGTTTTTGGATTGCGCATAGCATGATTCAAAATTTTTATTGCACAGTGCAGTTTCCAAAAAATTTTTTTTTCTTGCACGGTGCAATGATTTTTAATTCTTTTATCGCACAGTGCAGTTTCCAAAATAATTTTTTTTCTTGCACGGTGCAATCATTTTTAAGTTTTTTAATGCACAGTGCAGTTTTCAAAAAAATTTTGCTCTTGCACGGTGCAGTGATTTTTCAATTTTTTATCGCACCGTGCAATTTTTTCAATTTTTCTTTGCACTGTGCAGTTCACAACGCGCTGCACTGTGCAAATTTCTTTTCAATTTTTTTCGCGACAGCGCACAGTGCAGACAGAAAAATGATTATTTTTTGACTGCACAGTGCAAATTTCTTTTTGTTTTTCTGCGACGAGCGCACAGTGCAGATAAAAAAAAATGATTTTTTTGATTGCACAGTGCAAATTTCTCTTCTCTTTTTCGCGACAGCACACAGTGCAGATGAAAAAATGATTTTTTGATTGCACTGTGCGCGAATTTTTGCCATTTTTTCTTTATGAAAACAGTTTTTATTTGATTTTTTTTTCAGATGCTAGTGGAAATAAGGTCTCAAAGACATTGAAAATCTCTCGGTCAACTATTTGGATAACAAATTGCTTGCAATTTCTACAAATTTTGGTCAGAATCATCAAAAAATTGTGATAAATCATGATTACAGTCGATATTTTCGGTGAGTCTTGATTTTCTGTAAATTTTGAAGTAATCCAAATGTTAAAAAATAAAATTATTTAGCCTAAATTTGCATAAAATCAAAAATTTTTGTGTTTTTTTATTTTTATTTTTTTTAACTCCTAAAAATACCTGAAAAAATTTGTATCTTCACTTTCCCCAAAATTCCTTTTTTAAAGTTAAAAATTCCGAAAAATTAAAGGTCTTACGCAACTCTTATCAGCCGCAAATCCTCTTGACCAAAGCTGTCTGATAACTTTTGGAGATTTCGTTATAAAAGCGTCTTTTTTCCACTTGATAAACAGGGAACTAGCTCGATTCTTCGTCATCGCTCTGTTCAAGCCGAATCTCACGCTGAGCCTACGTATTTAGCGAATATATTAAATTAGCGATTGATCGTTGAAGTTTGGAGTTTGAATTCGCAAATATGACTCCGAATTCGAATATTTTTACAGCGTATTTTCGAACGATAGTGCAGCTGGGTAAGTTTTAAAAAATTTTGATTGAAAAAATTCAAAATAAAAAATAGTTTTTATTGCACTGTGCAATGCGGTAAATTTTCCACCGCACAGTGCGGTCTCTCTTTACTTTTTGCACAGTGCAAAAAGAAACGAATTTTTTCGCACCGTGCAAAAATTCTCAAAGAAATGTCGCCGCGATCCGCTGCACCGTGCGTTTTTTGTTTTTGCACTGTGCAAATGGAAACTTCGTTGCACTGTGCAATCTCCCTTTATTTTTTGCACTGTGCGGAGAAATCAAAGTTCTGCACAGTGCGAAAAAACAGTTTTTTTGCACAGTGCAGATTCTCAAATCGAAGTCGCGACTCATTGCACTGTGCGTTTTTTCGTTTTTGCACTGTGCAAATTCTCAAAGCAATGTCGCGATTTACTGCTCCGCGCGCCTTTAGCTTGCACTGTGCGGCAAAAACAAAATTTTTGCACAGTGCTAATTCTGAAATCAATGTCAACACTCATCGCACTGTGCGTCTTTGGTTTTGCACAAATGGAAATTTCTTTGCACAGTGCAGTTTTTTCATAATGTTTGCACTGTGCGGTAGAAAAGAAAATTTTTGCAGAATCAAGATCACTACCGCACAGTGCAATCAGAATTTCTTCCCTTTTCACAGTGCAGTTGGAATGAATTTTTTGCACGGTGCAAAGGTTTTATTGTTTTCATCGCAATTTTGATTTTTTCTGCACGGTGCGGTAAAAATTGAAACAAGCGCGATTTCGCGTCCCGACATTTCGGGTCAGGGACAACTCGGGTCGCGACAACTCGGGTCGACGACAACTCGGGTCAACGACATTTCGGGTCAACGATACCGTTTAATATTTTCGCTTCGGGACTGTGAAAAAAGAATTTTTTGGTGAATTTGAGAAATTTTTGAAATATTTTCGCTTCGGGACTTGGAAAAAAGAATTTTTTGGAGAGTTTCAACAAATTTTTGAAATGTTTTCGCTTCGGGACGTGGGAAAAAGGATTTTTGGAGAGTTTGAACAAATTTTTGAAAATTTTTCGCTTCGGAAATTGGGAAAAGGATTTTTTGTTCTGAATGTTACAATTTTATTTTAAATAAGGTACGAATGTTATTTCTTTAATTTTTTAGATAAATAGTTATTTTAGAGGTAATTGAGGTTTATTTTAAAAATTTTTTGGGAAAATAGTGTTTATAAGCGAGGAGCAAATAAGAAAATCGTTATGTGCATACAATCATTACGACTATCTTCTTACTCCACTCTCTGGCACTGTCTGCGCTTAAATCCCGTGCTTCCAGTTAAAAACATAGACAATGGATACGATTTTCTTATTTACTCGTCGCTTATACACTATTTTCCGAAAATTTTTTAAAAAATAAACCTCAATTCTGCAAAAATTTCTTTCCCCAGTTCTTGAAGCGAAAACATTTCAAAAATTTGTTCAAACTCTCAAAAAATTCTTTTTCCCAAGTTCCAAAGCGAAAACATTTAAAAATTTTTGTTCAAATTCTTCAAAAAATTCTTTTTTCCAAGTCCCGAAGCGAAAATATTTCAAAAATTTCTCAAATTCACCAAAAAATTCTTTTTTTCCAGTCCCGAAGCGAAAATATTAAACGGTATCGTTGACCCGAAATGTCGTTGACCCGAGGTGTCGTTGACCCGAAGTGTCGTTGACCCGAGTTGTCGTTGACCCGAGTTGTCGTTGACCCGAGTTGTCGCGACCCGAGTTGTCCCTGACCCGAATGTCGTAGCGCCCGCGATTTTTACCGCACTGTGCAATAAAAAAGCTTTCAATTTTCGCGCAGTGCAAACTGAACTTTCTTTTGCACAGTGCAATGAAAATTCAAACACGCGATTTTTACCGCACTGTGCAATAAAAAATGTTCTAAATTTTCGCACAGTGCAAACTGCACTTTTTTTTGCACAGTGCAATTCCCTATTTATTCTTGCCGCACCGTGCAAATTTTCGTTTCTTCTCACCGCACCGTGCAATTCCCCATTTTTCTTTTTTTTCGCTGCACTGTGAAAAACTCATAATATCCTGGGGTTGCGAAGAAAGTAAACACCCAAAAACCACCTCCTTTCCCTGCCTTTATTGTTAAAAGTAGCTTTTCTTTACCAAAGAGCGGATTGAATGATCCCATCATATCTGTTTATCAAAAAAAAATCATAAATTCCGCTGATCCATCATGATTCTTTCGTTTATTTTGTTCGCTAAGCGGGTGACGTTCGCTTTTCGGTGCCTTCAAGAGACCTTGATTAACTCCGTTTTATCAATTTTCCCAATTTTTTGGGCGAAACTTTTTATAAATTTGTCGAGAAGGACTTGACGGACTGCATTTTTTGTTCTGTTTTCGCGCACGGTGCAGTCACAAAATGTCACGGCCGGGAATAGGCTCGGTGACAATTTGGGAGTCGGCCGGCTGGGTTTGCCGACTCCTTTTGAGAATCTTACAATTCTCCTACCTTTTCGCGGGGGTGCTGGGGATGGCGACGCTGACTGACAACAACAACAGTTGATTTTGCGATATATTTATTGTGGGAATTTTCAGGCTTATATATTATCATCAAAAGGGCGGGATTAGCTGGAGTGTCCTAGGGCTGGGCCAAGGGGGTTGGGTCCGGCCCTAGGACACCTCATAAGTGGAATCATAAAGCAGGAGATACGGAGTGAATGATCCGTGCTTACTCAGGCGTTTGCACGGAAAGCGGTGATTAAGAGGCAGGGGAAATGAATGTTATGGCAATCAAGAATCTTCTCGGCCCAAATTAATCATCCAATCGGCCTATTGAGAGAATTCCTTTTTGCTATTTTTAGTATCGCGAGGGTGTCGCGACACTCCGGGGGAGGGAGAGGGAGGAAGAAGAGGAGGGAATTTTTGGGTTACAAAAGTTTGGAACAGAGTACAGAGATTACAAAATTTTACAATAAATTTATAGTGAGCTTATCTAATTACAATAAATTTTATAGACAGGTTATCTTATCTTTTTAGAAAGTGGGTTCCTCCGGTTCCTCTGGGCTGGTATCCGGTTGGCGGTGGCGGGAGTCGATATGTAGAGGGGCGCGGCAATTGGGGCACGTCGGGTTCTGATGTTGGTTGAGCTGGCTGGTGATCCACTCGTCTAGGCAGATCTGGTGGAAGAGATGACCGCAGTATGTGCGGGTCACTGGTCGGTCGTCCCCGGTGAGGCATATGGGGCACTGGTCCTCGTGTGCTCTGGAGGTGCTGGGCCCAGGGACGTCGTGGGGGGTTCCCAGGGCGCACAGCGAGGTGTGATGCCATTGTTTGCAGTGTAGACACGTTTTTCTGCTTGGGCATCTGATGACATCGTGTCTTCCCAAACAGTTGACGCACCGGTCGCCGATAAGTCTTCGGCGGACCGAGCGGTCAACAACGACCGTGCAGTCGAGAGGGTTGTGGTCAGCCGAGTTACAGTAGGGGCACGGCTGACGGCGTGCTTTATGCGGCCTCCTCATTTCTTGCTCCAAATTGTGGCGGAGGGAGGCGGCCAGGGTTTCGGCTTCATCCAGTCTGGTCAAACTTCGCCGATGCCTTTCTTCCTCGTTTTGTAGCAAGGCGCTGAGCTGATTGATCTCCTCGGTGAGCTGAGCGCCCACCTCCGCTGCGGCTAGCTGCTGGTTTCGCGAGGCCTCCCGGAGTGCTTGGATTGCCCGGTAGTGCCTCTCGTTGTCTTCTGCTAAGATGCGCCGGGTTCGGCGAGCTTCGTTCAGGGTGTCGGTGAGGGCCTGTGCCTCCTCCTCCGCCTGGTTACGGGCGGCGGCGGAGGAAGAGGCTTCGGCAGACAATTCCTCGTTGCGTTTCCGGAGTTGTTTGTTCTGTCTCAGGAGGCGCTTGGCCTCCTCCTCCGCCTGGTGTCGGGCGGCGGTGGAGGAGGAGGCCTCCGCGGTGAGCGCTTCGTTCTGCGCTCGGAGAGATTCTACCTCGCGTTGAAGTTCCTGGATTGCGTCCGACATGGCAGGATCTTGTGGTGCGGACGTAGATGGGCCGGGGATGTCGGCGAAGTTGATTATGTCTAGCAGCGGAATTGGGCGGCAGTGGCGGTGGCGTTCGATAAATTCTTCGTATTGAGCTTGGGTGAGGTCATCCAGGTATCTGCAGCTGTACTGGAAGACTTTGAAGAGTTCGGTCGCGACGGTTGGGTTGTTGGATTTATCCGGATGTAGACGGAAAGCGGCCCGCCTCCGGATGCTGGCCCATCGGGACTGTGTGCGGCTTTGGAGATTTATCAGACCTAGTGCTAGGATGGTTGAATATATGGTAAGCAGGTCTTCTTCGGAGGGGTCGAAAAGATGGCGACATTCGTCGTTTTGCTCCTTCTGTTGGTTTCTTTTTCCACTCATGTCTGGAAAGATTGGTATGAGACGACCGGCCATAGATTCCGGATTTTTTCGGGGGAGGGTGTTGTTTTTCAGCATTACAGTTCATTTGTAATTGAACTGCTAGTGGTGACGCTCCCGCGGAGGGAAGTGTTGAGGAACCGGAGGGGATGTGGGGTTTAGGATACGAATTTTGACGACAATGGTTAGGATAAAGCAGTGGTAAAATTTTGGCAAAAGATGTGGGTTGCGTGGAAAAAAACTTCTCCCGATCCATGTTTTTTTTTTTTTTTTTGTGTCGAAAAATATGAGTTGTGGTTTTTGCTAAGGACGAAAGGGATCGGAAGAAGGGTAAGGGACCAGTGGTTGGTTAATGGTGGTGGGGCTTAGCCCGTTTGGGCAGGAGACCACGGCTTTCGGGGAGTTGTTGGTGCGGGCGAGGTCCGAGAAAGATCGCAGGTGGGGTGGAAGGGAAATTGTAGCGGAAAAGAAAATAAAGCATGATAACGACAGTTGCCATAACAATTAACATAAGGAGGGGATATTGGAAGATTAAAGAAGGGAAAAACCAAGCGACTTTTTCCAGAAATTGTGTAATATCGCGTAGAATGTTTCCGATCGGAACTTCATCGGCGGCTCTTGCCCACCACTGTCCAAGTTCCTTGGACGGGGAGGAGGAATCGTCATGGTGTGAAGTTTTCCGAAAAGGTGTAGAGTTCCGTCAGATTTATCGGAGCAGGAGTAGGAACAGTTTTTGTTAAATTCAGCTTCATCGGTGTGGATGTTGAGTTGGAACGTAATGTTGTTGCAGGGAGATGATTGGACATTTGTTCCATCACACTCGACATTGATAGTCGTTGGGAATTTGGATTGGCAGAAAATGATAGCTTGCGCGCCCGAATGACAAGACTTGCATCCGGTCAATTGTTGTATCACGGAAGGTGCACACTTTGCACGATAATGAAACGTAGATATCGTTGCGTTTTGGAAGGCGATGTGAACCAGAATGGCGGTTTGTTGAGCGATTTCTGCCGTGATGGTGTGGTTTTGGTAGGCGATCTTTATTGGACCAGAAGTGAACGGGAGTTTTACCTCCGGGCTGTGCCATAGGTCCATAGGGTTGCGGTAGTTGCATGTGCATTTGGTGTGGAAATCGCTGGGGCTGCATGAACAAGTTTCATGGGGGAATGTACACTGGAATCTTCTGGCATCGTCTTCTGAGCGGCATTGGAAGACCCCTAGGCTGCCCGGAGCAGGTTGTTGGGGGTCAGAGGCTGCGGTGGTGATGGCCTCGTTGGTTCCCACTTTTATAACCATAGGTTGATACAGAATCGGTACCTGCGGAGTGGATATGGCCTGTAGAGTGAAGATCTCGTTTCCGACGTGGACGGGCTTGGCAGCCACCAGTTGTATGAGGGACGTTTTGCCGCTCACTTCTAGGATTACTGACGCGGTTATAGTCCACGTGGGGCAACGTCCTATTAGGTAAATGTTGTTGGTTTTTGGTAAGGCATAGAGGCGCCAGAAGTTACATCCCGGACTGCAGAGGAAGCAGCCACAAGTGGCGCACCCACAGGCCCGGGTACAGTGGGAGTAGCCGGGGGCCCGACGAGCTAGGAGTGAAAATTCGGGGAGGTCGTCGGACGTGGAGACCTTTTCACATTGATATCCTTGACAGTACGAATTCGATGCCATGTCACATCGATGGACGGATTCAACTGTGGTGGCAAAGTCTCGTGTATGGTAGCCGTATTTAAAGTTACATTTAAACTTTAGCTGGAGGGTAGTCAAGCGGAGCATATATGATCCGTTGAGTGGGGTGGTGATTCGAAGACAGCTTGTCTCGTTGATGGGCCGCAAACTGAGTTGGATGGATTGGGAGAGGGAACAGGTCTCGACGTTGGAATCTTCATCAAAACGGCAGTTGTGAGTGCTCGCGGTTAAGGCGGTTACCTCTGAGCAACCATTAACCCACGGAAAGAGTCCGAAGAGGAGGTAAATGGTGCCTGTCGTCCGAAGAAGACGTCGAATTCGGTGTGGAGCCTGGTATCGTGGTTGCCGAGGGTTTTGTGGACGGCATCGAGTCCAGATCCATCTGACTGTTCGCCAAATCCAAGTGTGTATAGCTAGTAGGATGCAAATGAAAGGTATTAGAGCGAGTAATACTCCCATCCAGATGAAGATTCCTGTTTTTTGGATAGCTGTACAGCAATCCCATCTCCAAGGGGCACAGTCCTCTGCTGTACAAGGGTTGGGTAGGGATTCCGTAGCCGAAACGGTGTTAATAAGAACTATGCCCAGAAAATAGGCGACTAGTGTGGTGGAAGAAGAATTCTTTCTCGGACTCCGTCTGGGTGGCGGTGGGCTATCGTGCTGGTTGGACGTTCTTGGGATTCCTTCAGTTGCGTTTGGGATCTCGGGTTGAAGTTCGAGTGGATAGAGGTGTTTCGGGGATCGGTGGAGGACCAAATGGGGCGGTGTAGCGAGTTGAATTTGGATTTTGTTTGGAGTGACGATCTCCAAGATCTTCGCCATTTGCCACTTTCCTCTTCCGAGTCCTTCCTCATGGACAAGCACGACTTCTCCTTTCATTGGGAGTCGATCGATCGCAGATCTGTCCTGTTTGTGGGTTGTTTGATGTCGCTCGGCCAGAGTGAGGAGGTATTCCGAGCTCCAAATTTTCCAGAATTGGTTAATGATTCTTTGTTGCTTTCTCCAAAGATCCATTAACTTAGTGACCGATGACGGCTTAGGCTCGAAGGTGCCATCCTCGGGATCCCAAGGGTCGAGGAGAGGGACTCCGATGAAGGCTCCTGGTTGGATGCAATCGATGGGTCGGATCGGGTGAAATGATTGATCATCGATTTTTGAGGGTACAAATGTCAGTGGACGGGAATTGACGATAGCTTCTACCTCGGTTAATACCGTCATCATTTCAGGCAGCGAGATCTTTTTCTTGCCGATGGCTCTCTTGAGTGCCGTCTTCGTTACTCCCATCAATCTTTCCCACGATCCGCCCTGCCAAGGGGCAGATTCGGTGATGAAGCTCCATTTAATTCCGCGCGTTGCCAAATACGATTGTACGTCTTCGGATTCAGCCCATGCAAGGGTGATTGCTTGAGTTGCGAGGCGGAATTGAGGGGCATTGTCGCTCCAGACTTCGGCTGGGGTGCCCCGTCGAGAGATGAATTTTCGAAGGGCCTGGAGGAAGGCGAGGGTGGAAAGGTCCAATACGAGCTCGAGGTGTACGGCCCGTGAGGTGAGACAAGTGAACAAACAGATGTATGTTTTTATGGTGTCGGTAGTGGTGATGCTGACGGAGATGGGACCACCGTAATCCAGGCCTGTGTAGTGGAATGGAGGGTTTGGTTGTACACGCATGTGTGGGTAATTGGGAAAGGGTGGAAGCGCGAACGGCTTCAACGTTCGGCAAGAACATTGGCGAATGCTGGATTGGACAAGGCGTCTGGCTTTTGGAATCCATACGCGGTAACGAAGGTGACATAGCGTAGTTGAAGTGGACGCATGTCCCAATAGTTGGTGGATATGATGGATGTAGAGTGCGGTCCCGTAATGGGGAGATGGTAGGAAGATGGGGTTTTGTGCTGTCGTAGGGAGAGAAGCATGGGCGAGCCGAGTACGACAGCGAAAAACTTGTTCAGAATCTTGATACAGGTTGAGCTCGTGCTGTTGAGCTTTTGTTGGGGGTCGTTCTTGTTGCATTAACCGAAAGAACAATTTCTCTGCAGTATGAAATTGGGTTGTGTGTGGGGTGGACGGCGTGGTGTACACGGAAAGCCAGGGATATTTCCGTTGAGCGGTATTACTGGTCGAGAGTACGGTCGCCAGGTACTGCAGTACACACACAAGGGTGTGGATGAGGATGGTCCAGCGGCTGAACCGAGTAGCATCGATGAGGGGTATGGGTGCCGTTGTTACTTCGGCGACAGCAGTGATATCCTCCGGAGCTTCGTAGAGTTCCGGTTGATTTGGCCATTGGCTTGGTGACTGCCGGAGCCAAGCGGGACCTTCGAGCCAAAGTTGTGATGGTGGACAACGTTTGGTAGCCGAGTCAGCTGGGTTTTCTGCCGTGGGAACGTATCGGATCGAGGCGTTGGGGACATTTTGCCAGATGGAGTTGACTCGATTCTTGACGAAGATTGGAAGTGTTCGACGAGAAAGAAGCCATGTGTGGACGATCCGTGAGTCTGTCCAGAGGAAGATGTTGGTGAGCCGAATTGACGGTAGCTCAGTGGCAATTGTGCGAGCAAGGTTAGATCCAATGAGAAGTCCGAGGAGTTCCAGGCGGGGCACGGTCATGCCTTTTATGGGTCCCAGACGGCTTTTACCGATTAGGAATGACACATCGATGAGGTCGCCTGACTGAGTGCGAAGATAAGCGACTGCTGCATAAGCTCGGTCAGAAGCGTCACAGAACACGTGAAGTTCAGCAGAGTCAGAAGAAAATGGGCATACGTGGCGTTGTAGTGTGGGCATTGTGGATGTCTCGAGTAATGATTGAATTTGATTCCATTCAAAAAGAAGATCTTCCTGTAGTGGGATGTCCCAGTCTTTACCTTGTTGCCACAACTTTTGGAGGAGGAGTTTAGCTTGGAGGATCAAAGGTGCATGAAAACCTAGGGGGTCGAACAGGCTAGCGATCCTTTTGAGGATGGTTCTCTTTGTGGCAAGCTGTTCGGAGTTTGGGGTTTTCCAGGGCACGAGAGTGAGAATATCGGTGTTTGTATTCCACTGTAGGCCAAGAAATTTGACAATTTCCGGGATCTTTTCTCCTTGTTGTTCCAAAAAGGCCTTGACTGTTGGATGGCTGGATTGAAACTCTCGGAGGTTCATTTTTGCTTCGCTGAAGATTTGTCGTGAGAGGTGATAAGCGTCGGTAGCCTCTTGGACGTCGGAACATTCGATAAGTACGTTATCGACGTACGAATTTTTTCGCATTGCTTTGGCCAAGGGATGTGGGTAGTGTTGGAGGTGGTAATCCACGCAGGCGGCGAGGAGGAAGGGTGATGAAACTACTCCAAAACAAACCCGATTGA